TGTGTGTGTGTGTGTGTGTGTGTGTGTGTGTGTGTGTGTGTGTGTGAGAGAAACTTTTCTTCTACAACATTATTATGAGAGATTCTCGTCTAAACGATTGTTGTTGCATCTAAAGTTTTTATTTGAAACTTGTTTATCATTTATTTTATTTAGGATTTTTTTACTTTAGCTGAATTTCCATTTTTTAAGTTTGGTCAAACATTTGTACATGTCACTATTTTCTCTTGTCTGTCCCGTCTTTCATTTAGTGAGAGCGCTGCACGATGATATCTTGCTTTGTTCGTTCACATTGGTTATACGCTGGTTTTCACATTGCATTGTGGGAAACTGGGTCCACTGTATGGGGTGTAGTACCTCTCACTGAACACTAGGAGAACATGATGGTGGTGGATTCAGAACTCGATGAGCAGTAGTTTGTTGAGCACGTGAACATGTTGGTGATGTTGAAGTTGTCTCATGATTCAAGTTCAAGCAAATGAACATGGACGAGTCCGTCAGTGTCTCAGCTGAAGAAGAGCTCAGCTGTTCCTCCTGCTCGGTTCTCTTGTGTATGTGCTGCAGGATGAAGATCTGTAGTCTGCATCCAAACTACCTGCAGGGGATTGTGGGTAAAGGCTTCACACAGGTTTCACATCATTTGCCATTTTTAAAGGATTCATGTTTTTCAGTGATTTCTTTCTTTGAGCGTGTTTAAACATTTCTTTTGTTGTATAAGTTAACACAAGTATGTTAACACAAGTTAACACAAGTATGTTGCGTTCATCTGAATTAGTTTGTGTGATTCGCACGTTTGTGGTGACGAGATGTTTTGAACAAGTTGATCAGGTTCTGGTTTCCTGATGTTTGTGTTGCTGCAGTCATGAGGTGTATTTTTCATGTATTCTTGTTTTCTCACTTCAGAAACATTCAAACCAGTTGAGTTTAGTTGAGATTTATTCAGACAGAAGCTGTTGGTGGTGACGTTGGTGGGGGATAGGTTGAGATGTGACTCTGCCCCAGGTCAGACATGCGAGCTGTCTACGACGGTCTCCTCGATGACCTTTGTGATGATCTTTGTGGTTACGCTGGAAGACGACGACGACCCGGAAGATCTAAGAGAGGGAAACACGAGAAACTGATTTTAGTTGTGAGGCCTGAACATTTGAAGTGCTTTTTTTCCTTTTTTCTATAGAAACTACCAGAGGAGACATTTTCTATGGAGTCGCCCTCTGCTGGTCATTGTTTTTACAGTCTTTCTTTTAATACAAGTATCGGCCATGTTGACTGAAGGTGTGAATCGCCTCCTACCCGAGTCCCTCTCCGTCCAGCAGCCTCCTGTACTCGGCGATCTCCATCTCCAGTCTGGTCTTGATGTCCAGCAGCACCTGGTACTCCTCGGACTGTCGCCCCATGTCGGCATTCAGCTGCACCAGCTGCTCCTCCAGCATGGTCACCTGCACGGGTGAACTCAGTGTCAGTGTGATGCCTTAACGGAGCCGAGTGTCTTACCCCGACTACCACAACTATTCACCTGCATCTGGAATCCATTCATCTGCGCGGCGTAGCGAGCCTGGATTTCGACCAGTGTGTTTTCAAGAGACGCTTTCTGCAGGGAGACAGACATGTGAGACAGACGTGAGACAAACAGTGGTTTCAGCGTCAGGACTGTTATCGGATTCTTGTTCTGTTGTAGTTGATAAAGAACCTATTTCTCCCACAATGCAGTAGTTCACCGACAAACTGAAAAGAGATTTTTATATAACAACTTATTTGAGTCACTTGACGATTGCTCACATTGATCTGATGTCCAACAAACTATGAGTGCGGTTCTTCTTCTGTGGTTAACGACAGTTTAGAGCTGCTACCAGTGCTTTTTCAAAATGATGTATCTGGATTTATTGATTCAATTCACTATAAAATAAACAGAATCTGTTTCTACTCAAAAATCTTAATATTAGTCGGTCGACTCGAGGTTAAACTCCTCAAGCTGTGAGTTCGAAACAGTTCTGTTCTTCTTCTACCTTCAGGGAACAGGATCAGTCCGTTTGGCTTCCTTTTATCCACGACATCGAATGAAATCCAGTTTTATTCAAACCTTTACTATAATTAAATCACAATAAAACTGGAGTTCTGGTCTTTGCACCAAATTGGACTTTTGAAATGTTCCATCGAGGCTGAGGACTTCTGACTCTGACAAACAATGATCACCCACTGGTTTGTGTCCAATCAGAGAGCAGGATTTTCTGATGTTACATCAAAACAAACGTGAGTCAATAAGTAAAATCGTGTCATGTCTTAAAGCTGGTGTTCACACTGGTCTCACCATGCTGAGCTGAGACTGGAGCTCGATCTCCAGAGCCTGAAACTGACTCTTCACTTCCTTCACCTCAGAAGTCGTGGACTTCAGTGTTATCTCGGTGGTCGCCACCTCCTTACTGAGGAGCTCCGACTGGAACGAGGAGGAAGAAGCAAACAGATGAATGAAAACATGCAGGTTTGTTCATGTTCCTCTTTAACTGACAGTTTCCTTCCTCCTCACCTTCGCCTGGAACCACGACTGTAGGTCTCTGCGGTTCTTGGCGGCGACTGTGTCGTACTGCTCCCTGATCTCCTCCATGACCTTGGTCAAGTCCTCCTGAGGAGCGGCGTCCACCTCCACGTTCACCTGACCGCTCATCTGAGTCCGCATTGACATCAGGTCCTGTAGGAGCATGAAGAAGGTAAGTGTGCGTGTGCTTGTTTTGGTTCCATCACCGTGAGGACATTTTGTCTGGTCCTCAAAAGTCAAAGGGCTGTTTGAGGGTGACCTTCGTATCAGGCTCAATTATTATTATTACGACCTCCTCGAACATGACTAATGATGTCACAAAATCTGAAGCTGATCAGAAAAGATTAATCGGCTGAGGTAGGCGTGGTCACCTCCTCGTGGTTCTTCTTCATGGACACCAGCTCGTCCTTCAGGCTGTCGATCTGCATGCTCAGGTCCGTCTTGGCCACACCCAGGTCCCCGAGCAGCATCTTCAGCCCGGCGATGTCGGCTTCCACGGACTGACGCATGGACAGCTCGTTCTCGAACCTGCAGGAAAACAACAGATCGTTATCATTTTTATTATTATTATTATTTATCATTTTCATTATAACTATTATTGTTATTG